GGTATTACGTAGAGTGACTAATGGTTGAAGTACATAGAATGAAGTTTTACATAAGAACACATAAATATGAATTTGAATAAAGCGAAATCCCAGGATTGAAGCTATAAGTACCTTTAAATTACATGTATCTGTGCTACTTCTTCCTCTGCTATGATTTGAACATGTTCCTAATATTTATGGTTTCAATTGATTGTCTTCAGGAATTATCTAAATCCAAAAATGGAAAAAGGATATGGGGGACAAAGGATGATTCTGATGTTCTTATTGAATGTCGGGATGTCTACAAGTCATTTGGGGAGAAGCATATACTGAGAGGTGTGAGCTTCAAGGTGATTTTTATTTATTATGTTTTGTAAGAATGTTTACACTGTATACTGATAGAACTGTTTTGGGTGGGAGTATGTGGTGTTTAACTAATGTTAATTTGTCTTTCTCTCTCCTGGTTTGTTGTTCTTTAGCTTGCAGTAGGATGGGATTGGTCAAGTGTTTGTTCTGCTTAAACCCTTAAATATGGCAGACTTCCATTTACTTACTACGTGTGCCTTTTAAAATGTTTTTTCTGGAAGAAGAGCCATTTAAAATGTTATTGAAAGGGTTGTGACTTCTGTCCCTACTGATGAATCTTGTTATAGGCCTATGAATATAGAAATCAGAAGAAGTTTGGAAGTGTTTTTGAGTTTTTCTTTCTTTGACTATTTTCGAATTTATTTTCAAGGGCTTGATAAGAGAAACTCTAAGGTTTCTTGAGTAAAAAGGCTCAAAACTTTTCATAAATTTACTCATTGCATAAATCTGCCTTCAAAAGACAACCTTTATTACAATGGAAGAGTAGTTACCCTGGCAGTTATATTCCGATTTATCTTAACTGTCTTTTGTCCTAATCCTAACTTATTCTGCCTTATTTCTACATAACTTACAACTGTTCACATAATATATAGATGAACATTTACATGGTACATGCTGATACATAATTTCACATAATACCAAATAATCAAACATACAATTAAATTCCTACTATTGTCCTTCTTTGGTACACCTTATCAAAAGATATAGTTTTTCCGTTTGTGGAGCCCTTCTCAATTTATATTTCAAGGAACATATTTTTCTAGTGTAACTCTGGTTCATGCTTGTCCACAAAATTACAAGTGTTATCACTGACTTTCCTTGCATAGCTTTTCTGATATTAATCAGGCTTGTCTGTTAGCAGAATGCATATCACATACTGCTAAGTATCCCCATCTTAGAGCCCTATTTAACTTTCTTTGCTTAATATAGCTTTTCTTGGGGTTTTGTCTCCATTCTGATTGGTGGCTCTATTTCTGATATTTTTTTATGATAAAAGAAGAAGCTTTATGAAAGTGTGGAAGGAGAGAAAAGATTACGAAGCTGGAGAATAAGTTATCCTGCTCAGGATGACATCATGGAGTTTTTCACAGATTTTCACAAGCACAGATCCTTTGTTAAAGCCCTCAACTCCACTTTCCTCATCATGATTCTCAAAAAAACTGGTCCGACCAACATTAGTGAATTGCCTAGAAGCCTTATTGGATGCATTTACAAACTACTCTCCAAGGTGCTTGCCAAAAGACTCTCAAAAGTAATGCATAAGATAATTGGGGAGTGCCAGCACGCCTTTGTTCATGGAAGATAGATTGCGGATTCAATTCTGATTGCTAACGAAATAGTCGATGAAATAATTAGAAATGAAATGAAAGGGGCCTTATGCAAGTTAGATATGGAGAAAACATTTGATCACATCACTTGGAGTTTCATTGATTACATGCTTTATAGACTCAGTTTTGGTACTAAATGGAGAGATTGGATCGGATGTTACATTTCCTCTACCAGCTCTGCAGTCAATGTGAACGTTGGTCCCTCTCCCTTTTTTCAATGCCACAAGGGGTTTAAAGCAAGGTGACCCTTTTTCTCCTTAACTTTTTATCATTGCGA